TAAAAAGCTGCACTGAACAGAATAAAACAAATCCAAAAAGGTGGAAATACAGTGTCCTCCACTAATATTGGCACCATCATTTATCTTTTTGATATTTCATTCAAAAAATTCACAATAAATAAATAAACCTTTCATTGAAGTAAAACAATTACAAGTGGGGGGAAACTCACATAAAATAAATGTTTTTCCTCCAATGCATGCTGGCCACAATTATTGGCACCCCTAAAAATTCTTATAAGTAAAATATCTCTAAGTATATTCCCATTCATATTTACATTTTTTAGTACACCAGGGTGACTAGGAGCATGAAATTGTCCAGCCATGACTTCCTGTTCCACAGGATTATAAATATAAGGAGCACAAAGGCCAAATTCCCTTAACCATCAATCACAAGCAGTAGTCCCAGTTCCCTGACCTGAACCCTATAGAAAATGAGTGGGGTGAACTGAAGAGAAGACGCATCAACATGGAGCTAGGAATCTGAAGGTTCTGAAGAGATTCTGTAAGAAGGAATGGTCTCTGATCTTTTGTCAGGTGTTCACCAAACTCATCAGGCATTATAGGAAAAAACTCAGAGCTGTTATCTTGGGAAAAGGATGTTGCAATAATTGGGTGCCAATAATTGCGGCCAACGTGAGCTAGAGAAAAAACATTTATTTCTTAATGAGATTTTCCCCCCACTTTCCATTGTTTTATTTCAATGATAGGTTAGAATTTGTGAATTTTTTGAAAGATTAAAAGGATAAACAATGTAGATTTATTTTCACAGCCACCTTTGCTTTACCAAGGGTGCCAATATTAGTAGAGGACACTGGAATCATCAGAGAAAAGCAAAATCACTTTTTACATTTCTCAGCATGAAATTGTACTTTTCTAAAACCTACCTCTTTAAGATAGTTTGACTTACATCTATGATCATCTGTAGCTTTAGAGTAGAAACATCTCTGTTAAGATTATACCAAACAATAAAACGACTTCAGTGGTCACTAACTGACTGATAACATTCATTGCGTTGGCTGGTCAAAAGTTATTGGTGGCACATTCGTTAATGTCAGTACACTTCGTACCCGTGCCCTTGAACCCAGCGCGGCACGAGCATTCATAACTTCCTAGCAAATTGGTACATATTGCGTTGGGGTCACAGCTGTTCTTTCTGTCACACTCATTAATGTCTACGCACGCCAAACCATTTCCCACAAATCCTTCAGGACAGGTACAACGATATGAACCTGGTAAGTTTGTACATTCAGCAAATGAGCTGCAGATGTTGATTTCACATTCATTGATCTCCTCACATGTCTGTCCATAGCTTTGGTAACCACTGTTGCAGAGGCAGGTGTAAGATCCTGGCAGGTTCTTGCAACCTTTGTACCCAAAGAAAGCAGAGCACACACCAGGAGTCTCTAAACACTCATCAACGTCTAGGCAGAGATCATTTCCATTGCTTCTATAGCCTGCATTACATGTGCACACGTAGGAGCCAGGGTTGTTGGTGCAAGTGGCATTCCAGTGGCAGATTCTCAGTCTTGTGCACTCATTATCATCAGTGCACTGAAATCCATTTCCACTGAAACCAGATTTGCAACTGCAGTCTCTTTCTCCATCCCTGTTGGTGCAAATTGCATTGACATGGCAGCCACCATTATTAGATTGACACTCATCGATATCTTGGCATTGGAAACCATCACCAAAATAGCCCTTTTGACATGAACAGGTGTAACTGCCCACAGTGTTACTGCAGATTGCTTTTGTGTGGCAGCTGTGTAGACCAGTTTTACACTCATCATTGTCTTGGCACTGCACTCCATTCCATGTGTAGCCACTGCTGTTCTTTCTGTCACACTCATTAATGTCTACGCACGCCAAGCCATTTCCCACAAATCCTTCAGGACAGGTACAATGATATGAACCTGGTAAGTTTGTACATTCAGCAAATGAGCTGCAGATGTTGATTTCACACTCATTGATGTCCTCACATGTCTGTCCGTTGCTTTGGTAACCACTGTTGCAGAGGCAGGTGTAAGTTCCTGGCAGGTTCTTGCAACATTTGTACCCAAAGAAAGCAGAGCACACACCAGGAGTCTCTGAACACTCATCAACATCTAGTCAGAGATAATTTCCATTGCTTCTATAGCCTGCATTACATGTGCACACGTAGGAGCCAGGGTTGTTGGTGCAAGTGGCATTCCAGTGGCAGATTCCCGGTCTTGTGCACTCATTATCATCTGTGCACTGAAATCCATTTCCACTGAAACCAGATTTGCATCTGCAGTCTCTTCCTCCATCTGTGTTGGTGCAAATTGCATTGACATGGCAGCCACCATTATTAGTTTGACACTCATCGATATCTTGGCATTGGAAACCATCACCAAAATAGCCCTTTTGACATGAACAGGTGTAACTGCCCAGAGTGTTACTGCAGATTGCTTTTGTGTGGCAGCTCTGTAGACCAGTTTTACACTCATCATTGTCCTGGCACTGCACTCCATTCCATGTGTAGCCACTGATGTTCTTTCTGTCACACTCATTAATGTCTACGCACACCAAGCCATTTCCCACAAATCCTTCAGGACAGGTACAACGATATGAACCTGGTAAGTTTGTACATTCAGCAAATGAGCTGCAGATGTTGATTTCACATTCATTGATGTCCTCACATGTCTGTCCGTTGCTTTGGTAACCACTGTTGCAGAGGCAGGTGTAAGTTCCTGGCAGGTTCTTGCAACCTTTGTACCCAAAGAAAGCAGAACACACACCAGGAGTCTCTGAACACTCATCAACGTCTAGGCAGAGATAATTTCCATTGCTTCTATAGCCTGCATTGCATGTGCACACGTAGGAGCCAGGGTTGTTGGTGCACGTGGCATTCCAGTGACAGATTCCCGGTCTTGTGCGCTCATTATCATCAGTGCACTGAAATCCATTTCCAGTGAAACCTGACTTGCAACTGCAGTCTCTTCCTTCATCTCTGTTGGTGCAAAGTGCATTAACATGGCAGCCACCATTATTAGTTTGACACTCATTGATATCTTGGCATTGGAAACCATCACCAGAATAACCATTTTGACATGAACAGGTGTAACTGCCCAGCGTGTTACTGCAGACTGCTTTTACATGGCAGCTGTGTAGACCAGCGGATATCTAGTTAGATCACAAGACTGGAGTAGAGAGCACTATGAATTGTTCGTCACGAGCACAGTAACTGAAATTGAAAACGGTTAAAAGAAAAGGCTCAATAAACTAATGCACATATTTAATATGATCTTGATCATGTTACTGACCTGCAGTTGTGTACCTGAACACAGTACACAGGCATAGCAGATACAGCAGCAGACTCCTGCAAGAGAAGGTCAACAAATATGAAGTAAAAAAAAAAAAAAACCTCCATTCACTGTTAGGTTAATTAGGGGTGCGCCGATCCAATATTCAGTATCGGTATCGCTCCGACACTGGCATTTTCTGCTGGATCGGGTTATCGGTCAGACGAGACCGATCCTAGTATATATTTATATATAAATATATTGCTTGTTTTTCATGAATGTATTTTACAACAATACAAAGAGCAATGTGTAGGCCTACCAGATTTAGCCCTACACTTATTCACTTTTATTTGTTACCCACTAAAAATAATGTATTTTTTTCACTAAAAGTTTAGGATTTTATAAAATTATTGTGCACTCATGGTTTTTCTAGAGTAACTTTTGCTACTGAATTATCCATTAACCTAGTTTATAATAGTATTTTTCTCATAGATTTTGATTAAATTTTTTTGTTTGTTATTTTTTCTTTATAATGAAGCTGTCTATATTTAGTAGATTGTGTGTAACATACAAAAGAGTGATGATCGACCTACACATTGAGGTATAGAAATTCTACACTAATTTTAAAAAACTGCGCTGGTATCGGAACGATATCGGTATCGGCAGATACTCAGAATTTTTGCTGTCGGATTGGTATCGGTTCTGAAAAAGTGGTATCGAGCCATCCCTAAGGTTTATGACTATATGAGGTTTCGAGGCTGTGGCAGTGACCAATGAGTCGTTGTTTTGCTCACATTTAATTTAATCCAAAAATCTTTCCTCAGAAAATGCAAAAAAAACATATTGCAAATTTGAATTGTGTCCATGATGATTGTTTAATTTAGCTTTTTTTCTGGGCTTCACTGAGACATAAAATGACTAAAACAAACAAACAAACAAACAAAAAACCACACAGACTTCCGCCTGTTTTTGTTGAATTTAATTATTTTTGCAACAAAGCTATATTTGTTTTTTTTTTACTTCTGCTCTGACACTAAGAGATACAGTGTGTCAAAGATGATAAACTGAATTTTGAGACAACCCAGTGCCACCTCAGCTCAGTGTGAAGATATCATAAACAATAATTTATTTGTTTATTTATTTATTTATTTTTGAACATGGCATTAACATGGCAGCGCGATTATGACTCACTAAATAGGAAGACACCTTTTTGATGTGAGTAATTAGGTGAATTCCTACCGTTTACTTATGTGAGTGTATATCTTTACATCTATAGAGTTACATCTATCAAGTTGAACCAGTTTACGCATAACAAAAACACAGGGATTGATTACTTTGTTCTAAGTCTCAATTCATGAGCCCCAAAAGGGATGGACATGCTCAATGAACCTACTCATTCCACCAAAAAATAACTTTATTAGACTCAAAGAAACACATCCTACTCTAGAAGTAATTTACAGTTTCATTTTGTCATCTCTGATATCCATTATCAACTTTATCTGCTTTTACTTTACAAAGTAAATTTCAAGATTATAGCATTTCTGATTATAGCAGTGGTGGGCCGTCAGGGCCAGCAAAGCCTTCTCTGCTGGCCTAAACACTATCAGAATCACTGATTTAGTTTTAATATATTTTTCCATGAATGTGTATTAAATTATTTCCAATAGTCTATTCTCTTCAGTTCATAGCTTTTCTCTTGGTTGCACTGCTTCCAGCAGTGTATGTTTATATTAGAGCTTTTATCCAATCATATTTCAGCAATCGTGTTGCCAGGGTCAAAGAAATCTGCCTTAAGGCCTTCAGAATCCACAGTGCAGGCGTCTGTTAGCTTAAATCAATGGCAATGAAACCGTTGCTTTAACCAATCAGATTTCGAGTTGGCAACACCAGGGCCATCTAGCTGGCTAACGATAACGTCAGCATTTTCTCCTCCTTTGATTGGATGGTCAGCATACTAGCTAGCCAACAGCATCACTGTAAATCGTTTTATTAAAACTTAGTAAAACTTTTATTACTGTTCCTCAGGTATGGTTTCTATAGCCGTGGCATCATTATGATGGTATGAAGAGATGGATTAATTAATGTAGGACGCCACTGAAGGCCTAGGTGTAAAATGCACGGCCCGCCACTGGATTATAGCATAGCTCCCTAAAGCTTTATTGATTTATTGACCTGATGTTTGGAAAAGACAGTTTGAAACAAAGGGTTTCTCAAGTTTGGTAACTGAAGTCAACATGGATGATGTCCTGAATAGTCGGCTGATGGGGAAGTCGTGGCCTAATGGTTAGAGAGTCGGACTCGTAACCCAAATGTTGCGAGTTCGAGTCTCCGGTCCGGCAGGAATTGTAGGTGGGGGTAGTGAATAACCAGCGCTCTCTTCCACCTTGTAACCATACTTGGCCACATGTCACTTCACTTTCACTTTCATGTCACTTCAATAGGAAAAATGATGACAATAATCCTCTGATCTCTGACTGGGTTACATGCTGAATGTTTTACTTCCGTGTGGGTCAGATTCAGTCATTGTCTGTCTGATGGAATCTACTGTATAGAAATCCATGTGGTGCATCGGAATCAAATTACATCAAGACGTGTCTCTAGTATGCTAAGAACTTACTATAAATAACATCCTTCTCAACATCACATCATGGCTGAACATCATAACCCAAAATATATATTTACCATTACAGATTGGAATTGTGTTACAACTGAAATTACCCATTGAAACAAGTTTGAGATAAATGTTATATAATGTAATATAAAGTATTTTCTAAAATCTTCCTAGACTGTCCATATCATTATATCAAATTGAGTTTTCTCAGCTTTCAGAACATACTCATTCAGAATATAAATAGCTCATGTTTATCATCTGGAACTCGTAGTATGATTAGAGTAAACTGTTATTTGCTCAATTCTGTATTTGTAATCTCAAAATAAATCATGAGAGATACATTCTAAATCTTATTAGACAGATTTAGCGCTCAGCACTTTCACAGAAACAAGCCAACAAATTCCACTTTTACTGTAAGGAACCTGACAAACAAAATGATAAATTTAAATCAGTACTTACAGCATATCTCACTGACGGCTGGTTGTCCTATAAGGCAGACATTAGTACACAGAGCAAGTGGGTCCTTCTCAGGATTCGGAAGGTGTGCGACTTACCTACTCCCATTGGGTTTTAACTTGCCTCTGGGACAAAAAGCTGGGACATAAAGAGCTAGAGTACCCTTACACTTCATGCATAAATACTAGATTATTATTACAAGGGATAGACTGGGACCACAAATCAGCCCTCAATTTATAGTTTGACAGCCCTCTGGTGGAAAAGCATCACAAACATATGATACAAAGTATTTGGTTCAATTTGCATCATACTGGAAGTGTATTTCTATATGGCCCTGTGTTAGAAGCTTTCTTAATATTTAGCTGAAATATAATTAGGTTAGTTTTACTTTCGTCCCATTTCTTATTGCCTAGAGAGTAACCTGAAGTCACCATGAAATCAAAATTGATAATTCGGTAACTTTATGTATTTTACATATATTCACATAGCTAGAAATATGAGATAATGTTCTTGTTAATGTTTACTAATGAAGTTACTAAACATTACCTAATGATTAACATGTTGATTATTTAATGTAAATTGAAATGCTTACAAATGTCAGTAAACTTTGAGTTCATATGATCTTCATTTGTTGGTCTTTGTTTGTTGTGTAGACCTCTATTTACACTTCTTAACAATTAATATATTTATTATTTGTTCATGTTTTTACAGTACCCAATCTAAAGTGGAAACTGTTCATGATTTGCAAATGTTTATAAATGTTTACTAATCATTAATACCTTTATGTGCAGTCATATCACTGGCAAAAAAGTGTCCCGAAAGACCTGAATTTACCCTATTCACACATCTTTACTAATAATTTATGAATCATTTGTTCATGTTTTTGCAGTAGCCAGTCTAAAGTTGAAACTATTCATCATTTGTAAATGTTTATAAATGATTACTAATCATTTAGTATATTTATGAGCATTGGACTTTTAGCTAATGTAACAAGGTTTGTGTAAAGGGTGGCTGGTTAAGTTTAGCTAAATGCTTGCTAAAGAAGTAACAGTTTGTAATTTTGGTGCAAAAAATGTATTTATTGCCTCAACACTTACATGTCAGGACAGGCTAGGAGACACAGAGGGATGTGATCAAACAGTGGTATTTATTGGTAGAATCGACAGTGAGAACCAGGAGCAGACGAAAGGTGAGTATGACACTGCAGGAGCCCTCCGTGGGCTATACTCAGGAACAGGAGCCCTCCTTGGACTATACTCGGGAACCGGAGCCCTCCGTGGGTTATACTCGGGAACAGGAGCCCTCCGTGGGCTATACTCGGGAGCAAGCTCTGGGGCTGGAGCCGACACTGGAGCGAGCTCTGGGGCTGGAGCTGACACTGGAGCGAGCTCTGGGGCAGGGATGAGGGCGGAGAACAGTCCCTTTCTCCTCATCCTCCTCTTTTGGTTAGGGATGAATAGGGCGGCCGGTGGGCTTGACGTT